TAACATTAGTAACATTAAAAATGTAAAATACCAAATGGAATATGCCAATAACTTTACCATTACGATTTTGAGTGTCATTTTTATTTTTGTTCTTTTTCCAATATTCCAATGTCCCTCCCCCCCCTCCCTCTCATCCCCCCCCCCCCTTCTTCAATCACGCTTCCCTGGCCTTCTATGTATACTTTACTGTGTTCTTTAAAACGTTGCCTCTGAGAATTTTAGCACACTGACTAACGCTCAGCCACTACGGCCTGCTGAACGTACTCCTACATTTTATTTCAAGCACATTAAAACCAATCCCGAATAATTTCTTGTGTCAAGCTCAAGCGAACAAATATCTGATTCGAAGGTACATGCATTAAGAATAAATCAGTATTTCTCAGTTACTTTACACGGAATGAGTTACTTTTAGACGGAGTCCACAAAACGCTCTAGGCTTGGTTTAAATATGCTTGGGATAAGAAAGCATTTTTCTTGAGTGTATATTGGTTGTTAGGGTACAAACTGTTCAGAACTTGGATATCCAAGGAGTGGTATGGTTTGTCAAAGCATAATTTTGCAGTACGTTTGCTTTTTCTGATATCTCCTAAGGTTAATTACTCTGGAACCTACATCCTGCATGGCCATGGCCAGATATGTACATGCTTATGTATGCAGGAGGTAGTGTGTACTTCGCCATGTACACAAGAAGCGCCCAATCCCACAACTATACATTGTGTTTCTTACCTACAGGTCACATATTTGGCCTCCGATCCCACGTAAAGGGTGGGTGATCCGCGCCGTCTTATTAAAATGCTTATGCTGTACCGGATTCTTACGTGTGAACGAGTTGCATACTCGCACGGCGCCGTAAGGCGCCCTGCCGAGCGGCGGTAGGCAAGCCCGCCCGCACTCGTGGATCCGGCATTTCAAAAAAGACGGCGTGGATCACTTACCCTGTATTTCCCATACTATTTGCTAAATACTAGCCTGCATGAGCTGCTCTCGGATGACGCAGGTCACGCGAAGCTCTTGAATTCTGGCGGGGAGTGGGGCGGCATCGAAGGCCTCCTCAACGGGGTCCCTAGCGGCCACCGGCGCGCTGCCGTTGCTGCTGCCTCCGCTGGTGCTGGGCGACGGGCCAGTGCCGGAAACCTCCACTGTCAGGTCCACGACGGGGCCCACTTGGACGGCGCGGCCGCGCAGGTGCAGGGTGCTCAGGCGAGCGCAGTCGCAGGCGGCCTTGAGGTGCTGCTGCTGGGCCGACTCCAGCGACAGGGCCTCCACGTGGCGGGCAACACTGCGCAGCACCTTCATGCTCCAGTTGGGCGCCAAATCGCATCGCAGCCCGTAAAGCACCTTAGCCTGGGAACAAGGTGACATCCTCAATGTACTTTCTTTGAATGGGTAGTCAAGTCATTCTTCAGTTGATGAGAAAGAAAAAATCTATTGGCGTGCAGCAGCCCGTAGTGGATGAGCGTTAAAAGTAGAAAATACAGAATTATGCTTCATCTGATATTAACCGTTTGTCCGCAACGAATAAAAAACAGAAGAAAAAAAAGAAGTTACTTCAAGAACATGGCGGCCGGTATTCTTATGTTATCGTTGCGGACAAACGGTAAATACTAGGGCCCAGCCATCAGTTGCGATAATGCTTACAGATTTCTTCGCTCCTTTGCATCCTTTGCATATTTTAGGGAAAGAAAGTTGCGAGGGGTGTGGAACTGGTCAAAAAAGTGTACACTTGATTGTGTCCAGACAAGCATTGTTTCAGATTGTGTGCGATTGTGTATTATTGTGTCGATCGTCTCTGATTGTTTCAGACTTTTGGGTAAATATTGGGACATAATTTTAAAAATTGTGTTATGATTGTGTCCGATTGTGTGTGATTGTGTCCGATTGTATGTGATTGTGTCCGATTGTATGTGATTCCTTCTGATTGTAGGTGATTGTGTCTGATTGTTTTAGATTTTTTCTTATTGTGTGTGATTGATTCTGGTCCACCCCGTCACGCAGTCACGCACCCACATCACTCGCAGGCCACGTATCTTCTTGTTGGCAAGGATGCGCGCGCGCGCGTCTGACACGGTCGACTATATTGTGGCCCATAGCCTGAATTTGGGATACGAACCGGTTGAAACCAGTGCAGAGGTGATAAGACACCGTTAAGCTGCACGCATGCACACGCGCCCCTCTACTCGCAAAAAAGAAAATAGCACCCTAGCTTTTTTTACAGCTCTGGTGCAAAAAATTCATCAGCATAGGCCCAGCTATATTTTTTGGCTTCAGTGCTTAACTTTTAGTAGTACAGCAAACAGAAGCAGTGTACTAGCTGTAATGCCAATACTATTTAGCAGTACAGCTAAATATTTATTATATAGCTACATTTTTGGCAGGGGTGCGAAATTTGCCTGTTACATCGAATACCACGGAACCGATTTTAATTTTCTTCAGTGTACCTTTTCCGTATAAAGTGAATGCTGTCATTTAGCGACGGCCTAGGAAACCCTTCTATTGTTTTTTTGCAGGGCTCCGTAACTTATTATAACACGAATGAATGTTAGCTATTCAACGTAACAAAGCACATGTCAAATTAAAAGTTAAAGCTAACGGATTTCAAATATGTCCGATATTAACCGTGCATATACTGTGGGTAAAAGTTGGAGAAGTCGAATAACTAACTTTTTGCCAAATGACCTAAGTAAAAGTACAAGTTATAGCTTTAACTCTTAAAATAACGTCAAAGGCAGTTAAGTAGTAAGTCACGGACCCCTGATTTTTCGCACAGTAACAACAGCCTCGGGAGATAATTTGGTACTGCTTGTAGGGAAAACGCGAGTCCGGGGGCATGAGTTTTGGGTTCTGCCCCATGGCCTAGCATCGAGTCAGTCCGACCGAGGTGACATTGTTATGCTTAAAGCTAATATGGCCGCGAGAAGCGCCAGAGAAGTATGTTGTTTCTAGAGCAACAAAGTAGTGATTTAACGACCGTTAAGGTTGCCGGTAAAGTAAGGTAAAGTAACGGTAAAGTACGGTACTGCACCCAACACCCGGTAAAGTTGGTAATGTTGGTAAAGTGCGTTTGCCTACCTTCTAGGGGCAAAGCAATGCAACCTCACTTAAATTGACATAAATCTAAACACATTTCAGGTGACAAAAGTCTGCGAGTGTCTCAGAAACATGTTACGACAAGTTTGAAGTCCGTACGTTCAATATTTCGCGAGTAACAAGTTTCTACGAAATATGGTGCTTCCGGGCGGGTCGTGTATTGCAAATTGGATCCATTAAGATCTCAGCAATCCTTCAACGTTTTGCAAAAGTGAAAACTGTTTTGGAATCTACAAGAACCAAAGCTTGGCGTAGGATAAGACATCAGACCCCTGAAACAACAGAAATATTTTATTTTTCAATCTGAAAACAGCGGACGCTCTGACGGCCA